CAAAATAGAAGTGTCCAAGAGAGTTAGAGAAGCCGAGAAAAGAACTGAGGACACAGTTAGTTAAAATTCGCGAAGAGACTGGAACGAAACCAAATATTTCTGCTGATTGCACGTGCAGCGATATTTTTTTTCTCTCTCTCTCTCCACCAGAATTAATAATATCTTTTTTTTTCTTTGTTTTGTATTGTTTTCTTAATTTTCTGTACCGATGACGTCTACTTGGATATTCTTTCAATGTTTACCGTTTTATAATTCCGATATTTGCTGCTGGAGCCCAAAGACTTTGATGTTCCATTAGGCACAAAAAGAAAAAAAAATATATATAGCAGAAATGGGATGCTACTGTGATTACTGTATATATGACTGGACGAGTCGGAAACAAAATCAACCAAAACTTTATCAGCAACACCAAGTTGGTAAGTTCTTTATGAATTCTCTGTAAAAACGGTTCACTTCCATCGTGTGTCTCTGTATTTTTTGTTTTGTTTTTTAAACCCAAACTAAAAGACCTACCTATGATTGTATTTGCGTTTTCTAAGATGTGAAATTAAAATAGAAAAGGAGCAATAAATTTTATCAAATGATCACAGTCTAAACATAAAAAAAAAATCTTCACATATGACGTAAACACGTTTAAATAAGCTAAACAGTATTTGTATTCAAAAGAAAACGGTTGCAGTCATCAAGGCCTTCTTTCTTATCTTAAATTTTGTAAAATTACTGCGAAAAGCAAATCATGATACTGTCAGCTTTATTTCCTGTCGCATACACACATGCACGCAGAAAATGATTTTTTTTCGTGTTATTCAATACAACAGGGTTTTGAATTTTCTAGGTAATCGATATGTCAATATTTACTTCGAGACACTGGAAAAAAGAGAGGGGAAGGGAGAAAGAGAATGGAATCTAGAAAGAGAGACTTAAGGAGAGATAGATAGGGATATCGAGTAAGAGAGAAATAAAAAGAGGGATATATATATATATATTTGATAGTTTTCAAAGAATAACCCATCAACAGATTTTTGGCCCCATGGTTATGTTTAATCAAATGTTATTTTTAGGGTACTCATAATGATTTTTTTAGGTTACTCATAATGATTTTTTTTCTAAATAGAAAAATTTCCATTTTTTTAGTGTACCATCAAAAAAATTTCAGAATACGCGAATCCCCCCCCCCGCCAAAAAAGTCGCTTTATTTTTAGTAAGTCGTCATTCATAGAGACATACAGTTTCGACACTGTGATCAAAAAGTATGTATAATGGACACTCCCGTCTAACTATAATTTTTACAAGACGAGAGAGTACATCATACATAAAATAGGGACTTACTTTTCAATCACTCTATATATAAAATGCGCATTAGCTTGAGAGAAAATATCATTTTCAAGAGTTTTTTTCTAATATTTAGCAAATTAAAATTTATTTCAATATATATATATATATATATATATATATATATATATATATATATATACACTTGGTCTGAAGATCGCATTAAGGTGTGAAACTGACAGTCACCATGAAGTCTTGAAACTTATGTCCACACTGTCTACATCTGAAAACGCCCAATCATAAATATAATAAATACACACACAAACATATATATATATATAGAGAAGAGAGAGGTGAATTCGTTAATTTAGCAGCATATTAAAAACTGGTTTGTTATTTTCTTATTAAATCTCATTTCTTTCATTCAATAATTTACAAAACTACCCTTTTATTTTTAACAACTGACTTCTTCAATTCCCTGACTGAATATTCCTTAAATAGTTGGAGAAAAAAACAAAACAAAAATAAATAAATAAAAAAATAACTGTTCTGTAATTTTATTTCAATTTTAAGCATTGTAAAATCCAGTTAGATTTTTAACTAAGATACGTAACTCCATATAACTGTTCATATTAAAATAAAAATGAATGACTTTTTTTTTCCCCCTCTTTTAAATTCCTAAAACTGGCCTCGTTTTGAATATTCGGCCGGTGTACTCTATTTAATGTTATTTACCCGGGTAGATCGACCTCGAATCACACGCACAAAAATATGTATACATTATACAATTTAAAAAAGAAACACGCGTACACATATTTAATGTTTAGTTTCCTTGTCTCATAAATTACTTGAGTATTTAATTCAAGAACTTTAAAGTATGTTTTGAATGTTAACTTCTTTTTTTTGTGGAGGAAGGTTTATTTTTGTATCTGAACGAAAATCATTTTATTTTTTAAAAATATGTTTTGTCGAGGCTTATCAGACCTGCATCAGATATCTCAAACTTGTTCTCCAAGTACATATTTATTCGGAGATGGGCTTGCTTCTTGCATTTTCCTTCTTTACTAATGCTTCTTCTTTCAGTAATGATTGGTACTTCAGTTTATCTGAATCACATCTCATAACGGTGCTAATTTCCCCCTAGAAGTTATTGGTGGTATCAAAACAAAGCCTCATTCCGCAACAACAAAAAAGTCACAATGTGTTGCCGGCTTCAGAAATGTAGTTGTTCTGTGTATAGTTTATAAACGGCTATGTGGCCGACCGGTAATATTTTTTACCAACTTGATGGCGTTTCTGTGATTTGGGTTTTTTTTTTATTGAAAACTTACTTAATATTAACAGTTAAGAATTTTATGTAAAAATATTCTCATCTGACTAAATACTATTTATTGCTTACAAACTGCTTTTGTAGCTGACTAACATTTACCGTGTTTATATCCAAATGTATTTATTGCTAGCCACGTTGGTCCCGGGAAGAATTGACTAGTACCACGAATTTACATTTTTCTCTGCTTACATTTTCTATGAATTTTACAAGTACAGGTTAGGTTGAAAATTCTCGTGCATTGTAAGTGTGTTGTTAAAACGATAAATATATCAAAAATTCTTCAGCAACTTTACTATATGAGCAATTGCGTCATTTTGGTCGTTAAAACTAAAAATTATTAAAGTGTTGAATATTTTTAAAAATTTAATTTCACGGCAGATATTTTCATTAAAGTTGATTGATTAAAATGCACAAATTTGAAATATAGGTGTTTTCAATTTAATAATTATTTGCAGATACTATTTTAAGCATTTAATTAAAGCTTTGAATTATTTATCTTAATAGAATAAATAAAAACGGCTGTAGGAAAGAGTTAGAGGAAAAAGAAAAGTCATAGGGTATACATTGTTAGGACAGGAAAATATAATAGGAAATAAAGTAATAGTTTATGCTCATGGGCAGATAATCCTAGAGAAAATATTTTTTCATTTTAAAATGAGTAATATTTTGTAATAAAATAAGTACTATGTTAATTTATTTAATATTTCGACTATATGTTTACTATTAAGTTTACTAATTTTATTTTAATAAAATTTTCAGTAATAAAAAAACTAGCAGTATTTTAGTAAAATAAATTTTAGCGAAAATTGTCGCTTATTAATCTGTTACTTATTTCAATATAATAAATTTTATAGTAACGAAATGACGGTATATGACTCGCCCCCGCCAACAAAACGAAATATCAGAGAGGAGTGTGAACCGGGCGACAGTCGAACCTATCTACTCCTATTTACTACAAATGAGCATTAGCCAGTCAGTCAGTTATGCGCCATGCGTGATACACGCTTAGCTGATCATGTATGTTTCCATACATGACTGACAAGACAGATTTTTTTCCTGCAGTAGGTTGCCATTTCTTTCTGCAGTAGACCAGTTGCTATCCAAGGCTATAGAAACCAGTCTGTCCTGCTATTTACCCATAGCTGGTTGTGGGGTGGGGAAGAAGGGTATTAATACCTTTCCCAACGGTATTAGCACATAAGTGAATGTAATGTGTTCGACTGGAATTCGAACTCGGCTCTCCGATTCCTCAATCCGAGCCGCTATCCATTACTCCGCCATTTGATGAAAAAATATTTTATCCTTAAAATCTTTATTATGAAGAGGAAAAACCAAGGGATATTCTATTATTAAATTATATTTTTAATCCATTTTACAAACATCGAAATCTGGGTTAAATTATTTTTGTGTGTCAACGGGTAACCATGAATAAGTATAGGAAATTTTTTTTTTTTTGTTTTGTTTTGTTTTTTTTTAACGGTGAAAATCACATTGATTTGGAAATTCGTACAAAAACAACTGATTACATTTTATGCCAGATTTTTATGATGGATATTAATAGATTAATGGCAATAAATTTTCTATGTACATTTTATTATCAAGTAAAAAACATAATTTGTACCATTTTCACATGCAATGTTTTATTTCTATTGCAATGAAATTTTTTTAAACTATGCATGGTTTGTCCCCCTCCCCCACCGACAACATTAGATTGATAATGAAACCTTTCGTTAAATAATTTGGACGTGAAAATAATAAATACATTTAAATTTCCATATATTTCTTCGAGGTCGTATAGTAAGTACATGCTAAAATAGTTTGAACATATATTGAATCGCGAAGAAAATATTTGAACGTGTATTTTTTGATAATCGTCTTTTACATGCCGTATCGTATCAAGATCTAGACAATCATGACTCTCCACAACTCTCTCGTACTAATCTTTGTCTCCTTACTCTCCCTCGCAGTCTCTGGTCTGCTATTCATTTTTGCCGTTTTCCTTTCTTTTAATATGCTAAATTCTCAAAGATCACTTTCCTCATTGTGTCACATAAATTTCATCTGGCTTCAAATGTCCTTTTTGTTTCCATTTTTCTTAAAACTTCCTTGTTACTCACATGTTCAGTCTCTGGTATTCTCAGCATCTTTCTGTAGAACTATATTTCTGTCTCGTAAGTCTCCTTTTCAGCTGCGAGGAAATTGTCGAGCATTCACTGCCATATCGGAGGGTTACATCGTAGTTCGGGACGTCAATAACATTGTGCACTCTCTCAGACCTTATTGGGGAAATCAATGTTTTCATTATAAATTAGCCCATCGATGTTGGTAAAATGTTTCTATTTATCTATCATGTGGCCTTAAGCTTATAGTATCTATCCTCTTTAAAAATAGCTTACGT